GCAGGGGCTGGGGCTGTCCACGGCCCTGTGCCCCGGTGCCCACAGCCCGCTGGGCACAGCGGGTGCAGAGGAGACATTGATGGGCTGAACTGGGTCCCGGGGGCTCGCGCAGCCAGCGGGGAGCGGGCGCGGCTGCGGACGGGCCCTGCGTGTCCCCGTCCCTCCATCTCTGTCCGCCGTCTCCGTGTCCGTGGCCAGGTCAGGACGGCCCCTTCGGGAGCCGCGCTGTGATCGGGGACTACATCCAGCCCCTCCCGCTGCCCGGGGACTCGCCGGAGCCTCTGTCCACCAAGCCCCCCTTTCTGTCCAGATCCGGAAGCTCAAGATGCAGATTTGAGTCCGATGTGAGTCCTGCCCCGGGGAGGGGGCCCGTGTGAGGAGGAGGGAGGCAGCGGGCGCAGCCTGTCCTGGGGAGGTGCCCACGAACGCTCACACTCACGCTCACGCTCACGCTCACACCTACCCCTCGGCCCGGTGCCGATGCTGGGCGTGGCCCCGCTCCCCGTGGTTGTGGCCGCCGTAAGGGAACACGTGGGCAGAGTCCTTGTGCTCTGCCGACTCTGAGACGGCAGAGAAGTGGGCACCTGGGAGGAAAGAGCCCTGTGCCACCTTCTCCATGCAGCCCTCCCGGGTGTCTCATCCTAAGCACTGAGCCAAGTGGGCCTGTGTGTCTCTCCCTGGGCGGAACCTTGAGAGCAGAGGGCACAGATCATGGTCTACCTTTGTCTTCTTCTTATTCTTTTTAAATGTATTTTTATTGATTTCAGAGAGGAAGGGAGAGGGAGAGAGAGAGAAATATGAGGAGAGAGAATCAATGATGAGAGAGGATCATTGATTCAACTGCCTCCTGCACGCCCTGCACTGGGGATCGAGCCTGTGACCCCTGGCATGTGCCCTTGACCGGAATCGAACCCGGGACCCTTCAGTCCGCAGGCCGACGCTCTATCCTCTGGGCCACACCGGCCAGGGCTCTCTGTGTCTTCTAAGGACCCTCGCAGGGCCCAGCTCAACGAGCGCCCCGTGCCTCACATCACGTGGGGCAGGCCCGCACCCACGTCCAGGCTTGGGGGTCACAGGAGTGCTTTACAGAGGCCCCCACGGGACCCGAACCCCACAGAGCTCCGTCATGGCCTCAGGGGTGCCAGCATCTCCCGGGACCCCCACGTGAGGCGGCAGGGCCCGGGACCCCCAATGAGGCTGCGGGGCCCGGGGGCCGTGGGAGGGTTCCTGTGTGTCCCCCGCGGGAAGCGGGAAGCCGCAGCGTCCTAACTGAGTGCCCTGTGTCCCCCAGATGGACAATGAACGGAACGCCAACCCCCCCAAGCAGAGGTACTCAGGGAAGGTGCACCTGTGTGTGGCCCGCTACAGGTGAGGCGGGGCCCGGGGCGGGCGCAGGGCGGAGTGGGACCGGCCGGGAGCGGAGGGTGCCCCTTCCCGGCCCCGGGAGAGGGTTGGGCGAGGCTTCGGTGGACGGGGATCTGAGGGACAGGGAGGCTGTGAGGCCCCACCTGCACTGCGGGCGTCAGGAGGCCTGGGTCCGTCCAACGCCCATGGCCTCACGGCTCGCGACTTTGGACGCGTCCATGCTCCTCACTGGGTTGTTAAAGTCGGGACTAAGACGTCTGCTTGGCCTTGAGCCCAAGAGTTAATTTCAACCAATAACAATGTGACCTTCTTGGGGGTACGATCGTGGGAACCATCACCCTTTGTTACAATTTAATGGCGCGGCTGTCACCACCGACTGCCCTGGATGGCAAGCTTACCAGGTATACGGGTTACTAGTGCGGATTAACCATCAACCGGTTACCAGTGCAGGTTAACCATCAACCAGTTACCAGTGCAGGTTAACCATCAACCGGTTACCAGTGCGGGTTAACCACCAACCGGTTACCAGTGCGGGTTAACCATCACCCGGTTACTAGTGTTAACCATCAACCGGTTACTAATGTGGATTAACCATCAACCTGTTACTAAATCGGATTAACCATCAAAGCGTGGTTCAAATTGATTATTTGACAAAGAACGTCCAGGTCAACCGAAAAAGATGGAAGACCAACAATGACAAGCTTTACTGGGTGGAGATGCGTGTCCAACTCAGAAACAACTCGCAGATTCAACGTTGCTCAGCGAACAATTTCCGACCGTTACAAGCAATGGGAAAGGTTTTAACGGAAGGAAAACGGGTGCCACAGCAAGTGGACGAACGGCAAACGGAAAACCGAGAAGTCATCAGTAAAATGGCGCTTCAGTGGGTTGATCCAGGTCAACCATCCACATCGCCTGCAAGGCCAAACGCCTCGGAGAGAAGACACTGCTCTGCGTTTGGTGGGATCGGGAAGGTGTGGAGTATTAGGAGCTTCTAACACCAGGTGAAACCGTTAGTACTGATGGCTACCGACAACAAATAATCAATATGAACCCGCTTTGATCGTGAACCGGCCACAATGGGCCAGAACACACGGCAACGTAATTTTGCTTCGTGATGACGCACCGTCACACTACTTCAAAACCGCATCTTTAATGCTTATGCAGATTAGCTATTAACCAGTTAAAAACTCGGATACCGGTTAAAAATTCAGATCAGGCATTAACCGGTTATCTGTTGTCGGTAGCCATCAGTACTAACGGTCTCACCTGGTGTTAGAAGCTCCTAATACTCCACACCTTCCCGATCCCACCAAACGCAGAGCAGTGTCTTCTCTCCGAGGCGTTTGGCCTTGCAGGCGATGTGGATGGTTGACCTGGATCAACCCGTGATTTTGTGCGTCTGGGATTCTCAGAATAAACCCACTTCTCACCGCCAGTCACAATTCGATGCCAAAAAGACTTCCTTTCGTGCCGTTGAAGCAACATTTTACTGATGACTTTTCTGTTTTCCATTTGCCGTTCGTCCAGTTGCTGTGGCCCCCATTTCCCTTCCGTTCAAACCTTTCCCATTGCTTGTAACGGTCGGAAATTGTTCACTGAGCAACGTTGAATCTTCCTGCGAGTTATTTCTGAGTTGGACACGCATCTCCACCCAATAAAGCTTGTCATTGTTGGTCTTCCATCTTTTTCGGTTGACCTGGACGTTCTTTGTCTTTCTCACCGAAATCCTCACTTTTAAAGCGTTTAAACCAGCGTCCACACGTATCTTGAGACGGAGCATGTTCACCATAAGCATGTTCATCTATGATGTTAACACCTTCAGCAAATTTGACGTATGAAGTTTTGAAGCTTGTTGTCAATACAACAAAATAGCATACAGATCGAATCGCATATATATCAGCATACGTGTAACCCCATCTATTGAAAAAAACCCGCATTAGTAACCGGTACAGCTGGTATTTTCCTACTGAGGCGACTTTTCTGTTGTTTTTTTATTTTATTTATTTTTTAGTTTTTTTTTAAAAATCCTTAAAACCTGAGAGGGAAGGTAGGGGAGGGTGGGGGTAAATGGGAGAGATCAACCAAAGGACTGTATGAATGTATATAAGCCAAACCAATGGACACAGACACCGGGGGTGAGGGCATGAGTGGGGTCGGGTGGGGGGGCAATGGGGGGATAATTCCTTAATCAATAAAGAGAGAGAAAAAGTATTTATCTTTGATGGCAAGTAACTCTAAAGACAGAGAGTTTTTAACTGGGTTTATTGGGGTGATATTGGTTAATAACATTATATAAGCTTCCATTGAAGAAAAAATCCTCACTTGAGGATACTTCCCATTGATTTTTAGAGAGAGGGGAAGAGAGAGGGAGAGACAGAGAGAAACATCCATATGAGAGACACACATCGATGGGTTGCCTCCTGCACGCGCCCGACCAGGGCCCAGCCAGGGAGGAGCCTGCAACCGAGGTGCGTGCCCTTGACTGGAATCGAACCCGGGACCCTTCGGTCCGCAGGCCAACGCTCTGCCCACTGAGCCACACCGGCCGGGGCTCGCCCTCCGTCTCGAGCCTGTGGGAGGAAGCTGGCGACGGCCAGGATCTGACCTGTTAGTGCGAGGCCGGCGGAGAGGGGGCGGGCGCGGCCCAGGGTCCACGAGGCCCGGGCTGCTGTCAGCCCCCCCGTTTCTCCCGTAGCTACAACCCCTTCGACGGCCCCAATGAGAACCCAGAGGCCGAGCTGCCGCTCACGGCGGGGAAATACCTCTACGTCTACGGGGACATGGACGAGGACGGCTTCTATGAAGGTCTGTTCCACGCGGTGGTCGCTGGGCGTGCGAGGCGGGTCCCTGCAAGGCTGACCAGTGCGGGGCCTGGGGAACAGGCAGGCCGGGCCCCAGATGACGACCCTACTGGCCAGGCTCCCCCTGCCCGCCTCCCGCATGACAGGTTCCCCCTGCGGTGCCGAGCGGGGTTCCCGGGGTCCCTCCTCTGACCCTGACATGCGGTGGGTGTTACTATACTCACCTGGTTTCCCAGGCAACCACGTGCCACACGCGGCTGAGACCCTCTGGTCCCTGCGGGCTCCCTCCTCCCTCCGAGTCACTGCCCAGCACTGGGGTCCCCCCATTGGCATCTTCTCGGGCAGGGCCCGTTCAGGAGCCCCCTCTTCAGGCTGCGGCAGGCGCCATGGGAAGAGCAGGCTGGTGGGCGGGGGACACCCCACGGGGGTGACGTCTGCGCGGACCCCTGGGGCCCGGGCGCTCTCCCGCGGCTGCGGCTCTGAGCTCCGGGGGTGACTCTGCCCTCGCTCCCAGCAGGCGAGCTCCTGGGCGGGCAGAGGGGGCTCGTGCCCTCCAACTTCGTGGACCTGGTGCAGGACAGCGAGGCCCGGCTGAGCGCGCTGGAGACCGAGCAGGGGCAGAACCTCCTCAACCAGACGGGCCTGGGCCTGGGCCTGGGCCTGGGCCTGGGCGGGGAGGACCCCCTGGACCTGCTCCCTCCCTCCCCCCCGGCCCCGGGCGGCCCC